GTATATTAGGACATCTGTTTCTAATAAATCTATTTCTATAAATTCTGCATGAAACTTTGGTGCCTCCTTCATAAAGTTTCGGTAACACCCCTTCACATAAAGCTGGGTTTGATGAAGCACATTGTTAAGTCAATTCCAAGAAATGAAAATTATTTCAAATACCTAATATCAAAGTTTCCAGGTTGAAAGAAATTGTTTTTGTTGGACCAGATATTAGACGGCTTATGGCTGATCCACAATTTATTACATCCATGACGGATCCTCAAAGCGAAGTATGGATTGTATTCAGAAAGGTCATAAAGAAATTTTTTGGTCATGAAAAAGACCCTATCTACAAAAGAATGTTGAAAGCATTACAAGCTTCAGGTTGCCTTATGAGTTTGAAAGTACATTTTCTTCAATCCCACCTCGACTACTCTCCAGAAAATTTAGGAAATATGAGACGGAAAACCAGGGAAGATGGAGTGTCTCGATGGTGGCAGGCTACTGTAGGATGCTTCAAAGATACCTTCCAGATGCTTCCTACTACTGAATATATTTTAGATAAAAAAAATAAGTTTTGATCCACAATTATAAATAGGAAAAAAATATTGTCTTTTATTTTAAGATGATAACTTGTTTAACATACAAGTAGATACCTACATCTCTTAGTATTTTTTTGCGGACTTGTGAATTGATCCGCATACCATTTTTGACATGAGATTTTATTCCATTGAATTTCTGTGTGTTACAGATGCATGTGTTCAAGTAACTGCCCTAATAGTACTCGGATGCGTTTTGGCCTCAGAGCCGGTGTTGCCAGAAACATCTGAAGCAATACTGTTGAAAAATCATCCAAATCAAGCAAAAAAATCCGTTGTAAGGGATGGTTCAAAAAAAGAAAACGAAAGCCAAGATCTTGACGAAATTGATTTCGCTGAATTTTCAGAATCTGACTCTGAGGAAGATATCCCTGGGGAACTGCCATGGTTGCTTGCAAAGTGTCTTAGCAATTTGGGTGTAACATCGGATGAACAAGTAAAGGTACGTGAATGATATCACAATAGTTTCCATTGTATGACTATTAACTTGAAGGCCTACCAATCAACGTCACCTCGATATCAAAAATCGGACATGATTTGGCAAATGGTTCTATTTTTATTTCTTTCGTTTTCAATAGTTTATCTTTATTATGAGTATATTCTGATTATCATAAACTCTGGCAGAATAAATTATAAATTTGAGGACCACCTACAATCGGTCGTTTCAATCATCTACCTTTGGTAACATATTAAAAACATATAATATTATTTAGTATTCTATAAACCAGTTTGATCATATTACTCCTATAGAACATACTTATTAAGAACATTCATGACATCTACAATATGCTCAGAAAAAAGAATTCTCCATCAGAATTCTTTTTTCTGACATCTGGAATAAACATAGGTACATTT